CCTGTTGCGTTAGTCACCAGGTTTACTAAACAAACTGATGCATTACTGTCCTCCGCAGAGTACAGGAGGCTCCACTGCCTCTGAAACTTACTGTGGGACATCAGGTCAACCCATCACTGCCTCCACTCAGGAATTCTGAGGCAAGCAGACTGGGTAACCTTCACAGCACTACTTGCTTCCACATACGGTGGATACTCCTGAATGCCACAGGAAGGGAAGATACTGAAAGGACACTGCATTTTTTAAAGATCACACCTTCCCACCTTCTCAGCAGTGAAAGCAGAAGCTAATCAATTCACTAAGGTAAAGGGCCAGAGAGGTAACTTTCAGGATTTACGTTTTAAGATATTAAAACAAAAATCAAAAAATAAACGGTTGCAAAGGAGAAACAGAAGCCTTTATGAACACGTTCTATGAAATGGGATTTTAAAGCAAGCACAAACATGCCAGGGTAAACCAGGTGTATATCACAGCCCTAGACAGATACATCCTCAAACACTCATTTTAATGGGAGATTGTCCTTTCTTCTGTCACATATCCCACTTGCTGCCTGGAATTCAAGGGGTCAGCAAACAAGAAGTGTAGTGAAATATATCAGCTTAAATCTTGAAAACAAACTAGCATTTTGTACACGTTTTTCAACAGTTAGTTAACTGTCACAAGTCCTAGAGAAATGTAGCTTTGAGTCTTTGATGGGTTTCAGTGACATGGAGTCAGTGGATAACTCAAAAACTGTTCAGAACATGAATTGAAACTAAAATACATTAATGGAATTTCATGACATACTGTAACACAGCTAAATCCTTACAATATCTGTAACAGCAAGCCTGGCACTTTGTTCTCACACGCGAATCCTTATTACATATTTTTTGTTGATTTTTGTTTTCACAGATGATCATACAGTAACTTTTAAAGATGTGTATGGAAATAGAAAAAAAAAAGAAGAAGAAAACATACTTCTCTACCACAGTACCAATGTTCCTGCAAGCTTCTTCAGCAGCCTCTCTGAATGCAAAGTCAGGATGGGCAATTTTCACAAAATCAGCCTGGCATAGTAGAAGAAGAGAACAGTGAGGGAAAAAGACAAATTTTAAAAAATCTTTGATTATAAACAAAATTGCACTCATTTACACTAACATTTATTTCAACAGTTCTGTGCAATCTATTTGCAGAATTTGCTTGGTTTTTTCCTAAAAAAATAAAGCTTACTGGAAAACTGTGCTGACAACTGTTAAACCAGACAGTGAATGTATCTTTCAAAAAAAATATATATATTTAATCCATACCCATCTTTAAACCACTTTTTGCATGTGTCCCAGCCAGCCCAGCCCTAAAGCACGACAGGATGGTGTGTATCTAAGAGTTCTTACAACACAGAGAAATTCCAATGTATTTAAATATTATTACAAAATATTTTTAAAACTAAAATTCACAGTTAAGAAGGCACACCACCAAACGTGTGTAGAGGGTTTTGTTTTCAAACCTTCTTTACACTTGTGTATAGACCATCAAGTTATGCCTTGACAAAATTACCACATTAGTCAGTGTAAAAGAAATTGCTTCAAGTAACAATTAAAAAGGTAACTTACCAAGTCTGCTACTCTGCACAAGGTATCTGAAAGCTGATCAAAGATCTTTACTGTCTCTGGCCCAGGTGGGGTTGAACATGCCTTCTGGACCAGCTGTTCCGACTCCTGCAATGCTCTGTCCTGCGCTTCTTGAAATCCTTCTGGACAGCTCAGTTCTGGAACACCAAACAGCCCCTACAGCGCAGAACACAACGAAAACACATCGCTATTGACCTCCTCCATTTCTGCCCCTTTGTTGCAGGATGGAATTAGCACCACAAACTTTTACCAGAATGACCCTAGCTAGCAGATTGTGGCACTGCACTAAAATGTTTCAAAGAGTGTCTCTGTAGAGAAAATAGTCACAAAAACAGCCAAAGACACTGGTATCACATGAAAATATCTCCATTTCCCAGAGCAAAACTGAGGTTCTTTTAGCCAGGACTGTTCCCCACAAACCCTAAGAGTTCTGCATCAAATCCTCACAAACTCTCATCTTCCACCCCATAACCTCCTATACCATCCCCTCCCAAAGCATTTTTTATCTTGGTTTTCCAAAGCATGGGCACCAGACAAAACAAGAAGTCCATTTACATTCTGAAATGAGGGAAAATCGTCCCTCTGAAGCCAAAGAGACTTATCAAGGAATGTGAGGACGAAGCAGAAGTGGCTAAACAGTGAATGAGTTGGCCAGCAGCCCTCGGTATCAAAGGACTTGACATCAAGGGACTGCAGGCAAAAAGGCAGTGGTCTCAGGCTCATTAAATGAGCCCTAAATAGTGGCATGAGATCTCAAAGGAATGATCAGCAAGAACTGAAATAATTTATGCTATGCACAGTTTTATTCCTGAAGTTTTTACCAAGCCTGGCCCTGTCAAACAGGGCAGGGTAGACACAGACAGCAGTTATGTTCTGCACTTGTGGAAGAGAGTTAAAGAGGTCCTACTGCAGATCAAACAGAACTTACAACCATGTAAGATAAAACACTATCTCTGCAAGCAATACACTCCCCTTGCAACTGCCCAACTACAACACGAGCATCTCCTTACCTCCTAACTACAGTATCCAATAGTACAAGATCCATGATTTCACATAACATTCATCCCATCCCAAATTTAACCTCAGCATCTAAAAATAACAATCTGGATTTGAATATTTGCAGGCCAGTCACTTTACAACGCACCTTCTATAAACAACTTGTATTATAGCAGTCAGTTGCAGGTTTGCAAGTAGCTTACATTTATCCAAATAAAATTAAAAGCTGCAAATGGTCAGCTTCTCTGTAAAAGCATATATTCTGAAGCAAAAGCATCACCTAAAGTATTTGGGACACTTTGAGATGCTTTTCCTATTTTCTTTCTGTCACTGTTGCTAAAACTGCATTGGTTTCTTTTTTTCCTAGTGTCCTTACTATAAGCTGGTCACCAAGCTGACAGAAAGCCTTTCCTCACACTTCCCATGTCTTAATTTATTATTGGGAACAGGAACTGGACTGAAATGAAAAAAGTTATTTTTATATATACGCATGTGTATATAAGCACACCAACATAGATATACTTGTATCCCACCACCTTTCAGTAACGCTTGCTGTGTAAGAGACTCACGACTGCCCCTTCACTCACCCTCACCAGGCGATGCAAAGTTCTGCAACCTCCCAGAGAGCTTCTGGCCACCCTACTGCCCTCCATCACTATCCACCCTCCCAAGTGAGCTTCTCCTGCAGATGGAGTTCTCTGTGAACAGGAGTATCTTCTCAGAGGTAAATTAGCCATGGAGCTCCTCTTCCACATGACATGGAGCTTGACATAAGAATCAAAAATTACCAAAAAATGAAGCCTGATGCAGGTCTCTGTGTTCTCCAATCACTTGGCAGCAGCATTATTCTCTTCGCTTGGCCTCGGCATTTACACCTTATCTGTCACAACCTCTATGCAAGCCTGAAATACGTATCTCTATTCCCAAAGAATTCTATGTCCTCTCCGTGGACCAAGCAAATACAGAAGTCATTCCTTACACCAGGAAAAAAACCACAATATTTAACTGGATTATTTCCTGGAGCTAGACTAACACCAGTGTGCTTGCAGAGGAAGGAAATCCAGAAGAAAAATTTCCCAAACAAGTGCTGGATTATAAACAGAGGTCAGATTTGTCCTCACTGAACTGCTTAGTCCCAAAATTCAACAACTTCACCAGCCTGGGAAGGAATCGCTAAGTCGGCAGACTAACACCTGGATTTTACACGTATTCTGTACACATGGTGCATCGGAAGCGCACATCTTCTGCTGTCCAGGAATGTGTTTAGATACCTAGGACTCTCATTAACAAACCTACCCAACTCACCCTAAACAGAAACAAATCAAAAAGCCCAAGTGTCACCAACTCAGCAAACAAATGCTTTTTTGCCACATGCAACTGAATGTCAAGAATGATATCCACACAGGATATTCAGGCAAACTGATTTTGCAGCACTGCCAAAGCGCATTGGCCTGATACAAAAAAGGCACTGCGAGGTAAGAGCTAGGAGTGGAAGGGATAATGCACATATAAACACATGCGGTCTGCACTGAGGCTCTAAGCAAATGTTTCGATAAACAAGGCTGTGATTTTCAAACACTTCAGTGTCCAGAAGACTGAATGTTTTGGTTCATTAGAATCAAAACAAACCCCTACAAAGAAGTAACAGCCCGGCTGTCCCCACCACCGCGACTGAAAATTTTTAAAAATAAAAAATCACACACAAGAAAAGCGAAGCGCCAGGCTGCCGGCTGCCAGGGCCGCCTCCT